ATTGAATCTACAGTATCCATTGTCTACATAATTGAATCAGATCTTCGGATTGACGTCGCCCAACGTCACACCAAGCATCGTCTCGTGTGTCTCGAAGTCACGCAGCTGCATCATAAAGTTGTGCACGCCGTAGTCCTTGCCTACCAAGCAGCAGTTTTGCATATGCCACTTCAAAGTTGGCGATACGTGCTGAAGCGCCAGGCCACACTTCATGGACGTCAGCGTAGGCGAGTGGATCTCGAACTCGAAATGTACGTGGCTGTTGTCTCTAGTTCGCGAACGTTTATCCCACGCCATCTCCGTCTGGTCGTAGCATCCAATCATGCGCCACTTTGGCCATCTTTGTCTAAATTTGCCCGTAAACAATAGCCCAGGATCTTTATGAACATGAGCACGTACAACGTCGTGGTGGTCGATCAGCTCGTGATACCCTAAAAGTGCAACGCAGTTGCTCCGTGTCCGTTTCACTCAGGCGGTTTTGACACCACTCTGACTGATTTTGCATCGTCCGTTTATATTGCTTTCCGCGCGTCAAGTACTCCATCTATTCATGGCTAATTACGGGGCCCGGTACCAGCCATGGCTTGATTGTCCTAAACAGGGCAACTATTGCTCAGCAGTCTATAAAGCTTTCTTTCCGTGCATGATTACGAGTAAAGTTTGTTTTTGGCGTCGCACCATGTACACAAGTCCATCAATCACCAAGTGTTTCAAATACAGCTCAAGAGCCACACGCATGAACAAGTTCATGTGCAGATCATTGTGATACGTAACAAAAGGTTTGCAGCAGCACCCTCCGATAATCAAATTCACCATTTGAGTCTCAACTTCCAAAAAGTTCTTATCGCACAAAAATCGACGAATGATGTTTATAATCTTGGCTCAAGTGAAAATGCTTCACGCGTGTCATCATTCATAATAAGATCCAATCACCTTTGACGATACCGTGTATCCTGTTGTAGAGTGAGTCCAGCGTGACGTTTTGACAGCAGTGCATACAAGGAGACAATAGTAACAATTGTTGCGGTAAATTGGATAATTCACCCTTTTTGGATTTACCAGGGTACTCTTAGACCCCTAGGATATCTCCGCGACGTAAAATGCTGTGAATTATGATAAAAGCTTGGTCATTTTCATCGGATCCAATGTCCGACATTATTTGAAACTTTTTCCATCGGTACGAAGATCATAAAAGACCACTTTCGCTCCAGAAGAACGTTTACTACGAAGTCAACCAGTAACTGAGACGGTCTCAGTTAAATGGCTACCAGCTTCTACATTGACAAATTTTTCTTGGAATTCAGGTAACGAAATGGGTAAGGGTTCACCTTCTAGTTCACTTACACGATTGAAAAATAGGCAGTAGGGTTCAATTCTTCTTCATCTGCAAGTTGCAGTTTTTTAGGTGTAATCAAAGCCTTAGCAGGGAACGTAGTACAGTAGAGCCTGTCTAAACTGACACTAAAAGGTTTTATAAAATAACGAAGGCTATAGATACAGCAGTTTTAAATCAATTGGATAAACTTTTTCGGGATTGCCCATAGGTTAGCAGATTAGACAGGTTAACAGATAACGCAAAATTATTTTAGACAAGTTGTACTATAAAATCAGACGCCGGTCCAGAGAAGATTACCCCGTTAGCTTCGTTTTAGCTTCGATTTAACAATTTCATACAATTTAATAATTTTGTTTTAACAATTAAATTATTTTGTTTTACAATAAAAATCAAATTCTTTTTGAAACACCGCCAAGTGAGCGTGTTGTGCCTACCACTGGCTCAGCAGATAAGCGACGGCGCTCTCGGACGCAGTCGAGTTTGCGTTTAAGGCGGCGTTTGCTGTCATCTGCATCGAAATCGTCGTTTTCTCCCAGGTCGCAATCCTCTGCTGGCTCTACGTCTTTTTTTGGTGAGCAGGATTCTACTGAGCAAGATGTAAGCGTAGAGCGTGAGATTGGCGCCTTCTGTCACGAAATCGTGTTACGTTCGTGCGTGCCCAGTTGTATCTACCGACGTTCCTGACAAGCTCCATGCGCGAGGAGAGTAGCCTGGACTTGAAAATGCAGCAGCTGAGCTCGGAGTGCGGTGCCCAAACGCCAGCGTGGCAATTGCTTTTGCATTGTTTAGAGGTGCAATTACGCGTGGTTGCACGTGAGAAAACGCATTTGCAGACGGATGCTGTAGATTCGTTACAGCTCCGTTCAATGCGCCAGCTTGCAGATATAACAGCAGCTGCAGTGGCGTTTTCTACTCCAAGTTCATTGGCATGGACTGTGGTAGAAGCACCAACTGACAAGCAGTTTGAGAGCGTTATGACACGACTCAATGGTCTGATATCATGCCAGTAAGTGCTCTTTGAAGAAGATGATGATGCATGCACTACTAAGTGTAATAGTCGCTACCAGCTGCAAACGGGTGACTCCGAGGAAGCAACGGATGCAGCATTAGTTGGGACGCCAATATTGTGCCACGCGCGGTTGCTGACGTGTTTTGCAATGAGGATGATGTGGAGACAAAGCATAGCAACACCCAACGCTGATGTAGTAGCTGAGCAACTACTCACTGAAGCATTTTTCTCGGCGCGGATATTGTTCACAGCTCAGGTGCTGCAGTCACTTGCCTATCTATCACTGCAAGATGGGCAGCAATCATCAACCAATGAAGCAGAAAATAGAAAAGAAGCAAATGTCAAGAATACAATAGAGATTCGTAACTTTGAGGGAGTGGAGTCGCTTTGCGACGCATCTGCGTGGATTTCGCTGATGCTGGCGCGGTCTCGCTAATGGAGAGCAAACCGATCATGTCGCCTGACGTTAAGTTTCAAAGAAATCAGAACAAAGCTGCGATCGAGGAACAATTGAGCGTGTTGTGCCTACCACTGGCTCAGCAGATAAGCGAAGGCGCTCTCGGACGCAGTCGAGTTTGCGTTTAAGGCGGCGTTTGCTGTCATCTGCATCGAAATCGTCGTTTTCTCCCAGGTCGCAATCCTCTGCTGGCTCTACGTCTTTTTTTGGTGAGCAGGATTCTACTGAGCAAGATGTAAGCGTAGAGCGTGAGATTGGCGCCTTCTGTCACGAAATCGTGTTACGTTCGTGCGTGCCCAGTTGTATCTACCGACGTTCCTGACAAGCTCCATGCGCGAGGAGATGGCAAAGGCATTTGGGGTGGACCACATATCGAGATCTGATTTTTTCTGAAAGGGTGGCACGTGGTGATAGATCCTGGACTACAGATAGGCAGAATCGTAGGTTTTGATTTTTGATTGGTTAACACTAAACAGAGTTCAATTTTACTTCTAATACACGTGTCGACTTCTCTTCCGAGCTGGATTCTTTAGCCACCCGACGTCTCGAGGAAGCCTACACACTACGCAAGTCATATCCCTGGATTGTTTGGCCAGGAATTGCAAGAACTCTCAATACAACTCAAGTGCGATCGGACGCAGATAAAACCCGTAGGGCAAGGCGAAGCATGTGCAGGACGGATCAAGTGGTCAGAAGGTTATGCTCAAGTGGTCAGAAGATTCAAGCTTCGTTTTTATTGGATAACCGTGATCGATTGGGAAGATCACACCAAGTACTCGGTTATCTTGTGAAGATTTCCACAAGATAACCAGACCCCCTATCCCTAACCCAATTAGGATCAACATCGACTCGAGTCCACCGAGAAGAGAGCAACCCGCCCTACCGACGGGTACACAAGGTGAGGAAGGAATTGCTTTACACGGAAACGGAGTACCCCCTCCGTTAGTCGGTCGTCCGGGCGCCAGTGGAGAGTTGGAATCGCATCAGCAATTTTGCGAATCCCACTCCACCACAATGGTGCGCGTGCCCGAATCTTCTGGTGACTCGGGATTTTACCGTGAGTCTCTGAGAGAAGATGTAAAGGTCAAAATTGAACCTGGGATTAAAGCGTCAGCGGCAAAGGGATCACCGCAGACGCGTGAAGAAAAAAGATCCCCGGATCATCAGCGTTTTGGGAGGAGCGCAAATGAAAAGAAAACCAAAGAGGAAGATGAAGCGATTGATCTGGAACAAAAACCTCTACCCCCTCCCCAGGTCCTTTCGAGGACCCCTGCGGATCACGTTGCAAAACGCGATCCGCTGGATAAAAATTCTACGGTTAAAACCGAAGGAAATTTATCCAAAACCATTCGAATTCGAAGAAGAAGAAGAATTCGAAACCATCTCGAGTGAAGATGAAGGCGCCTGACTCGGATCATGATGATACCGACGTGAAGCCAGCGCATGAGGAAGACATGGCAACTGGATCAGCTGGAATGGTGTTTTCATTGGAAGGCGCTTAAAGATCTGTTGTCAAGCGATCCCGTTCTAAAGATTTTGAAGCCGAAGTTAATTGGATCTCTGCGAGGACCAATTTCAGCTCCCATTTCGACACCGAACCAGTTGGAAGCGAACCGTCGGCTTATGGAGTTGCTCCAAAACGCTGGATTCACCGCTGGAGCTTTTGACGCACAGGTGCTGTTGGAATGCGATCATGATCGAGCGATCCAAGCAGGGCGATCTCTTATTTCGAATCTAGTTCCGCTAACTGGAGAGTGCGATCCAGTAGATCAGGCGATCAAACCGATCTTGGATATTCCAAAAGGATATCATACTGAATCTTTGCAGTACATGTCAGCGGAATCCGAAGGGGAGTCGGATGCCTCGATCAACATTCAGCGAATGTCACTGGGACCGGCTGGTGCAGCACACATTCGGGAACGACTTGTACCGATTAAGGCCAGAGAACAATCGACGACGGCACTAACAGCTGAAGACATGAATGTGACTGGATCAGGTCAGCTGCAGTCCTACTTTGAAGCTGCTATGAGGAAGTATGAACAGACCAAGCTCGCATGATCGCTAGTCGATCCGTGATCTCCAATATAATACCCCAAAAGTCGGCATCTTGGATGTGGACA